TACACCTTATGGTTTCTGTACCTTTAATAACTTTTCAGAATGGGAGTGAGAATGGGGGGAGGGAGGAATGAGTTTGCTAACTGCCATTCCTGCATTACAATGAAAATCTCCGCCTCTGTACATCTTAAGGTCTCTTAGGGGAACTAGATGCAGTTTCAGATCAGTTGCTAAGTTTCTAGCCCAAAGCGCCTACGGACATTATTAAAATATAATAGAACAGCAGTATCCCCTCCTCTTTATTCTTGCTAACATGATGTGTTTGAAAGTGGAAAACCAGTGTGGCTGGGCTTTGTTAGAAAACAGCTCTCAAGTTATGCATTTTAAAACTCAGTTTGATCTTCTATTTGCTGCATTCTCTCTAATTGTGAAAAAAATGTTATGGTATATTTACTACACATATTTATTAGAACCTGTCTTCCACTTTGTCTTGTCTCTGATTCTCTCCCAAGGCATTTCATCGGGTGTCTGCTCTGGTATAGGCATCAAGGAGTCAAAGATGAGTGACCCCAGGGGCCGGCCCGGGGGTGTAGCGGTTAAGTTCACGTGTTCTGCTTTGGCGGCCCAGGGTTCCCAGGTTCGGATCCTGGGCACGGACCCACGCACCACTTGTCAAGCCATGCTGTGTCCCATATAAAGTAGAGGAAGATGGGCACGGATATTGTTAGCCCCTGGGGCCAGTCTTCATCAGCAAAAAGAGGAGGATTGGCAATGGATGTTAGCTCAGGGCTAGTCTTCCTCACAGACACACAAATAAAAGATGAGTGACCCCAGCCTCTGCCCTCAAGATGCTCATGGCAGCGTCTGCCTGGAGGGGCAGCTCATGCATTTTCAGACTTGAGTCCCTGCAAAAGGACCCAGTGCTGAAAATCATTTGTAATTATTTCTGGTGGTGGGATGGCAGTCACTAATGTATTAAAACCAAAAACAAGTGGAGAAGCATAATTTCACTAAAGGATGTTTTATACCTTATGTTAATAATTCTTATACATCACACTGAGCAGTATCTAAATACTTCATGAACATTTCATCATGAATCCTTATAATTGTCCTGTACTTGGGAAGTACTTGGCCAAAAACACACAACCAATAAAGGTGGTTAAACCCAGGATCCTGGCTCATTCTGTCTAAAACCTGAGGCCATGCTCTTAACAACCCGTCTGTATTGAATAGATCAGCTTTACGACTTCCTGTTGAAAGGAAACCACAAGTTTAGCCAAGTAAGGAGAAACAGTTACAGAGTCATAGCAGGGTATCTGTCATGCATTGCAGCCTGTGCTATCTCCCTCAGCCAATGATTCCTGCTGGTGGGGTAATGTGTTAACTTTTCTGGGCAGGAAAGTGCTCAAGTCTGGGGGGAGTTTGGAAGTCGACAGCACTAAGAAAACTCTTGTCTTTCCCGCTGAAGAAATATGTGGTCTGCAGCTAACTTATCACCCCAGGATAGCTCTTCACTTTTATTGTCTACAGATTTGGAATAATAATTTCTGCTTTTGGAGTGAGATTCATTCATTCAGCAATTCATTGAGCATCTAAAGTGTCAGGGACAAGTTCAGACACTGCAGAAACAAAGATAAATGAGACAGACAGTATGGTCAGTATGATATGGGCATAAAGATAGACATAAACATCAGTAGAACAGAATAAGAAGTTTAGAAATAGACTCAAACCTATATAGTTCATTGTATTTGACAAGAAGGCAAGATAATCCATTGGAGAAAGGATAGTCTTTTCTACAAATGGTGCTGAAACAACTGGATATCCATATGGGAAAAAGTGAACCTCAGCCCTTACCTCACGCCATACGCAAAAGTAACTGGAATGGTCAGTGTAAACGCTACAACTGGGAAGGGCACGAGGGAACTTTTGGTGGTGATGGAAATGTTCTATATCTTGTTGATTGTGGTAGTTCCGTGGGTGTATAAATTTGTCAAAACCCATTAAAATGTATACCTAAAATGGGCACATCTTATTGTTAAGTTATACCACAATAAAGTTGATTTTAAAAGAGAAATCATATCATATCACTCCCTTACTTAAAATTTTCCAGTGAACATTAGATACAATCCAGATTCCTTACCCTGTCCTACAAAGCCCTGCATGATCTGGGCCTACTTCTCTGACCCATCAGGTAGCACTCCATTTCCTTTTGTTTTTCCTTCTTCCTGGAATGCTCTTCTCCCAGGTCTAGGTGTGGTTGATTCCTAAAGAGGCCCCAGCTCAGGGGCCACCTCCTCAGTGAAGTCCTCCCAGATTTCCTGACTCAGCACTTGAGCACATCATGGTGTGTTTTTCAAACCATGCATCATGAGCTGAAATTCTTATTTACATGGTATTTACTTATTGTCTGCTTTTCCCCATGAGACTATAATCTCCAAATACGAGGAAAGATGTGTCTTGTCTACTCTTCTATCTCTAGGACCTAGAATAATGTCTGCCTGATAGTAGATGTTGAATAATTGTTGTTTTGTTTGTTGTTGTTTTTTTTTTCTGAGGAAGATTTGCCCTGAGCTAACATCTGTTGCTAGTCTTCCTCTTTTTGCTTGAGGAAGATTTGCCCTGAGCTAACATCTGTGCCAGTCTTCTTCTATTTTGTATGTGGGTCGCCACCACAGCATGGCCACCGATGAGTGGTGTAGGTCCACACCTAGGAACTGAACCCAGGCCGCCAAAGCAGAGCGTGCTGAACTTAACCACTAGGCCACGGAGCTGGCCCCAATAATTATTTTTTGAGTGAATAAAAAGGGTAAGGAATTCAGATTCTATAATGTAGACAATGCAGAAACATTGAAGGCTGCTACGTAAAGAAATGGCACCATACGATTTGTGTTGTAGAATGATTCTAGGGATTGGATTGGGCACTGGGGAAAGATGGAAGGCAGGCAGATCATGTGAAAGGCTACCATACCATTTCTGGTAAGAAAATAGGGAGGCCTTAACTGAGGCTCACTCAGAGGAGACAGAAAGCAGGGAACAATCCAAGCAACATTTAAGAGGTGGAATCAACCACACATAGGTACTGATGGTCTAAGGGTATGAGGGGAATAGTCAAATTGAGAATTATACCCATGCATACCTGCGTAGATGGTGCTACCCTGAACTGAAATAAGGGATCCAGGAAATGTAGCATGGTTAGCAGCTAAGGTGAGTTTGGTTTGGGAATGTTAACTTTGCATTACCTGCAGAACATCCTGGTAGAGATGTCCAGTGGACATTTGGTAATACCAGTCCGAAACTGAGGAAAAAGCCAGGACTGAGAACACGGATTTGAGAGTTATTAGGTTGTAGGTGATGATAAAGGCATGGGAATGAAGCGTTAGGAAGAGCTGTGGGTAAAAAGAGAAGAGGGCCAATGATGAAGCTCTAGGGGGTAACTGACTTTTAAAGACTGGGAAGGAGAAGAGGAGGAAGTGGTAGAGAATAATGAGAGCAGTTAGGAGGAGCAGAGTGTAGAAGCCATGGAAAGAGAGTTTTGAGAAAGAAGAGTTAATAGTGGCGATTGCCACAGAGAAAAGACTGAAAACTTGGCAACTAGGAGTGACTGGTGACTTGAGTAAGAGCTGTTTCAGTAAAGAGCAGGCAAAACACAGATTGTAGTAGTTTGGGGAATAAATGCCAGCAAGGAATTTAGGATAAGATGCAGGATTCTTTCCAAAAGGTAGCAAAGTGGGAATTCATGCCTGCAAGCCCTACTAGGAAAAAGGTGTCTTTTGAGAAAGGTAGAAATACCACTGGGCTAAGATGCTTGATTTGAAAGCTGAAGGTGTCTATAGGCATTGTGAAAAGAGGATACTGAAGTAACCAAGCCCTGATAAACAGGTTGCCATATGTCACCGAGGGCCTGGCTAGAGTTGGAGGTGGTTCCTTTATTTTGGCCATAATTACATGGCTGTATTTTATCACCAGCAGTGCTCCAGCCTCCTGGGTGTAGGAGCAAGGACAAGTGATGGGCTTGATCACAATTATATACTGCCAGAGGAATTATGGCGAAGGATCAGGGGTGAGGATATTGGGAATTTTGGTCTACGTGATTGAGTCTAGACTGAGACAGAAATGGAGAACGCAGGTGGGGGTAGGGAGGGAGATAGAGAGAAACTGGGAAAAATCGAAGCACTAGAAAGTCCGGTGAGAGGAGTAAGAGATCTGGAAGACTGGGAGGGTGCAGTTAAAGATGGTTGTCTAGAACTTCAGAATTACTTGGAACTTCAGAATTTAGAATCTGGAGAGATGAAGGGGCCGGGGTGTGGCTGTACGATTAGTGGATGAAATGGAGGATAGAGGTGTAGGCGAAGGTTAGATCTTTGGACACAGAAGTGCAGCCACCCAGCACATCACCCCATACATACTGATGTTCCCTAGCCTCTGGGAGGCAGATGAAGATTGAAACCAGGGAGTTCAGTGAGTGATCAGGAGTTGCTAGATAACAATTACATGGAGCAGAGAGAGGTAGATGGTGTGAAGCTCAAAGGAGCATGAGCAATTGCATGAAAGGGGAGAAGGAGTATCCTGGAAGCCGTAACGGGGTGTTAGGAGAATGCCAGACTGATTCTGATGGAGCCCTTCCAAATGCTGGCAGACCCCAAACTGTGACCACTGGAATAGACTGGAAGTCACGTCCACTGGAAGAGAAGAGGTTAAGGAACACCCCAGGTGAACAATCAGGTCATCCACGATGAAGACAGGTAGAAAGAAACCTCGTAATGCTAAATGAAAGAAGTCTGAATTGCTTTTTGAACTCTCTGAAGTAACGTGATATAAATTTAATGTAAGAAATATATATTTGTTCCTACTAAAGGCTGTATGTTTCAGTAGCAAAAATAAAATTATATTGTTATGATTTCTGTGAAAAATATAATTTAATATTTAGAACATCTGCATTTGTGTATTGTTTAAAAATTGTGTACATTTGTGTTTTAGCTGGGTTTCTAACATTTTGTAAATAATATTTGTAAAGTATGAATGCTAATATTTATGTGTGTATGGTTTGTTTGTTTTTTTAACAGGTTCTTAATCAAGAACCAACTCTATGGATCCAGGACAGGTTTGTCCCATGGCCTGCTCTGAACAGCCAGTTGTCTGATAGAAGATTCCATTGGCAAACCATCTCTGTTGCCTTACAGAGCAAGCAAAGAAGATGGAGCAATTGAAGAGCCATCTGCCTGTGTGCTTGCTACCTTCTGTGCCCTTTCTAATCCTAACATCCACTCTAGCGACTGCTAAGAGTGCGACTAACAGCACTTTAAATGGCACTGACGTGGTCTTGGGCTCTGTGCCCGTAATCATTGCCAGAACTGACCATATCATAGTCAAAGAAGGAAGCAGTGCCTTGATTAATTGTAGTGTTTATGGCATCCCTGATCCACAGTTCAAGTGGTATAATTCCATTGGCAAGCTGTTGAAAGAAGAGGATGAGAAGGAGAGAGGAGGAGGTAGGCTTTACAGTTGTGTCGAATGTCGTAAAATATAAAGACCAACTTTGGAGCCAGCACTGTGAATGTTAGTTGTTCTTATTCAAAGTCATTTAAAGATCTCATTTTGTCTTCTTTTTCTAAGAGAGAAAAATATATATCCTTAAGGATTCAAAGCAGTAATTAATTCATTTTTTTCCACTCTTTGACTCAGAAGACAAGGGCAAACATTAAAAGTCTTTTAAAAGACCTCTTGGAATTTTGTAATATAATGCATACAAAATGTTGTAGGGATGAATATAAAATGGATTTTCCCTAAGTATATGGTCCATTTATAAGGAAGTTATATTTTGTTGCATGGACCTGACTTGAACAAACAATATGGCAGTTGTTTATTATTAAATGTCAGTTTAGTTCATTGACTGTGGATTTAAAGACTGTACTTCTTAAAAGAATTCTTGGTGCAAGTTCTCAGCCACCAGCTAGAGATCTTTCTGTGCTCCTGGAGACCTGGCTGAAGTTTATAGACTGTCTGTTGCAGCTGAGGCCAAGAGTGAGGGAGGATGCAATAGCAAGAAATAACATGTGGCAATAGGGGAATGCTTGTTTTTTAATGAATGAGTTTCTGGCCAAAAAGTGTGAGTCACCTACCTAAGCACCGAATTTACTTCAGGAAAGACTCCAGCCAGAGAGAAGATTGATTGGGTCATTGGGAATCAGTACATTTCTTGTTTTAGATGTGAGAAGTGATTGTCTGAAAACCCAAGCCTGATCCGATTGACCTGAAGGAGTTAATGTACTTTCCTCAGCGTTTACTGTGTGATGAATAGAGGGTTGGGGGCAGGGGAGTAAAAAGACCATTGTTCTGAAGTAGCAGCTTATTAGTTTCTGTCACCCTTTCATTCATATTGCCCTTCCCAATCCACAGTCCTTTAACCAATGAACAATCCCCAGTAGAGTTTCTGCTCCAAGAAAACCTACATTTTTAATCTCATTCCCTCATTTTATCTTAATTGCTCAGAAAACCAATAGAGACTAATGTCTTATGTCTCCTTAGGAGCTGAGTGAATGGAGTTTTCTTGCAATTACTTACTTCAGGTTCACAGCTGTGTTCCTCATGGTAAAGGCTGCTGGAAGTCTACCTACCTGGGATGTGGGATTTCACTGTAGTGATACCACTTACATTGCTTTTGGTTAGCCATTCAAAGATGCACAGTGTAATAAAGTTTCTTCCCTTTAATGAAAATATTATATATTGTGTATCATATGTGTGTTTGTCTGTTTAACTTGGTGGAATGGAACTCTTTCCCTACCAAGTAAAATCATGGGATCACAGAATTTTTAAATTAAAAAGGACCTTAGAGACAATGTAGCCAAAATCCCTCTTCTATTCACCTTTTCCCAAGGCTCTGCTGTTATTAAGTGGCTGTAACTAGAACCTTCACTACTGACAATGGAAAGATGAGACACCAACAGCCTGAGTCCCCAGTCCACAATTGGTTTCCATTCCTACAGTTCCTTCCTCCCAGACTACAAGTCAGAAGGAAGTGACATCACACTTGTGAAGGGGGGCAGTAACCCCGGTAACACATATACACGCAGGTCCCTGTAATTCATCAGGTCTTTCTACAGGGCTGGGCCACTGTGAGGAATATCAAGGTGACTGACTTGAAGGGAACAAGGACTCCAGACCTGAATCTACCTTTCACGTGGACCCTGAACCAAAGGTTATCCTGGGTATTAAACAGTTGGGGCTGGGGCACTGAACCCCTGAGTCCTAGAGAGGAAGAAAACTGTGGGAACAGCATAGTATTGGGGCCCAAGTTTTAGTCGCAGCATTTTGAGTGTTGTCCTTGCTGCTTCAAAGAGATCACGTGATGTCTTAATTGAAAAAGTCCTTGTAACGGTTGACTCAGTCTTGGCAAGCATACTCTGTACCTTTCCTTCTTCATCTGTTTATGGGGAGGTTGAACTAGATGGAAGTCACATTTGGCTCCATTTTCTTTGGTTTTTTGGGTGCTCGGGTGGTCTGTGGTAGCCAGTGGAAAGCCTTTGGCACAGAGAACTGCTCCATCAGAACTCAGCACTCGCATCATGTGTGTAGCCTGCAGCCTTGCTGGTAGATCAGTTAGCTGTTTTTAAATCACAAGAGGAAGATGCACTGTAGATTTTTAAAAAGAGCTCGTGATACTGGTACTTGATGTTCCAGCTCAGCTTTTGTAATTGCAGTGCTTAATAATAGTAATTTCAGAACATAAGTAACACAGGATAATGTGCAAAACACTATACCTGACAACTCAGAAGACAGGAAATAGCAGAAACGAGACTCCTCGTCATAAAATATTAGAATTTTAGTGTTAGAATGACCTATTAGAGGACCCATAATCTTTAACTCTTCATTTCTGATAGGGAAAATGCCCCTATTATAAGCACAGAGGTAGATTTCAGTTCAGGCTGAAAGGCTAGAAGTTTAAATGGAGCTGTGTTTCATTTATAACCCAGCAAAGAAGTGATTGAATATAGTATGAAAAATGATGCTAATATCCTGGCATTACCTAGATACATTAGACTGCTGTTAAAACCAAGCTAACAAAATTAAGGTAATTTTCATTAATGACACCTACCATTGATTAAGCCCCTGTACCAAGTTACAGATATTATTTCTAATCCTTCCCATAAGCATAACAGGTATTATTAATCCTCATGTATACAGATGAGAAACCAGGTGAATGGAGAGGATAGTACACCACCAGAGTATGGCCAAGCCGTATTTATTCTCCCTCCGTGCCTGACCAGCATCTGCTCATCTTCAGGTGTCTGTGGGTGAAAAATCAAACTATTGTGTATTAAATGCTTAGTACAGTACCTGGGACATAGGTGTCTGTAGGCGAAAAATCAGACTGAGTGAATGAGAGAAGACTTCCTGGGTAGAAAAGGCATTGTAACCACTACCATCACAGTTAGACGGCATTAGGGTGTGTGCTGTAATGTGTGTACGAGGCATGGACACACACACACACAAATGTATTCAAAATCATCTGGGGAGTTGCTCTAGGAGCACACTGCCATTCGCTTTGTGCTGAGCCTGGAAAAGAACAATTTCATTTCTTGTTTATGCTGAAAAAGTGAGACAGCTGTTATTCCTGCCAGCCCCGCTGGTCCTAGAAAGAATGGGGCTATTTCCTGTCATTGGCAGGAGCAGCTGCTTCGCTTTGCTTCCCTGGTGCTTGTCATTTCAATTCCACAAGATCAGGAGAGGCTCGAGTGTAATCTGTTTCTGGAGGAAGAGTTTTTTCAGCAGTTCACCAAAGGACATGTTTGGGGTGGTCCACCAACCATATTACAGAAGTAACTCAGAAGTCAAATAACGTGAATAACCACAAATAGCCACGAAATGTACTGTTTTCAAATTTCCTTTTGCTAATAGTGCCTAGGAATATATAGTTGCCAGAAAGTATTATGAAAAAATCCAGGTTATTTTAGGTACTAATTATCCAGTGTATTTTTGCTGTGGCTACTTACTCTGACTTTTAAGCCATTTAAATGCATATTAGTACCTTTATCAGATGATAACTAACAAGCATTTCAAGAAAGTCAGCTGGTATAGGCCTTTGTAAACACGTCCGCCTTGTTAGCGATTAACTTTGAAATTCTTCCTTAATGTTAGGTTTTAGACTTTTCTGTGAATTTGTTTTCCAAACTTTTGTAGTGCTGTCACCAAAAACAATTAAGAATTATCTTTAAAAATAAACACGCACAGAGTAAGCTGAGCTGAAGTGCACAAAGTTCTCAATTGTCGCAACTACTACTCTAGCTTAATGGTATTTGTTATTATAAATTTTGCATTTAGTTTACATCACTCTGTTTTCTTTGCTCTACTTTTGCAAATTGTTTGAATAGACTGTGAAATGTCTTTTAACTACTTCTACAAGGGACAACAACAAGCTGTGCCAGCCAAGTTCTAAGACGGTAATGTATCACCTTCCTACTTGATATATGTAGGAGGAGGTCAGTTCCCACGGCATTAAATGTAAGTTATCCTTTTCCCCTAAGATCAGCGTGAAGTAGGGCATTAACTTACAAAAATATTATACTGAATTCCTCTTTTAGTACATTAAATATTTGAGATAAAAAAATCAACTTATCAAAAGAGCATTAAACAAAATTTATGTAATGAAGAATATATTTTTAGAAATTCGGAAGAATCCCATGATAGTCTTTCTTTAAGCAAGTTCCTTAGACTTTTCTGAGCCACAGTTTGCCTATCTGTAAAATAGAGATAATCCTTTTTTACTATGACGTGTGCCTGTGAGTCTTGAACAGACTATTGTGTATTGAATGCTTAGTATAGTACCTGGAACATACCACGTTATCAGTAAATGGCAACTGCTGTTATTGTCATTGGTAATATTGCCCATGTCCTTTATTGTCACAATCATAGATTCTAGCGCTTAAATCTCTGTTTCATCTTACAGTGTGTTTTGTAAAGAAAGGAAATAATTTTCTGGGTAATATCTTATTCTCTATCTCAATTATTCCACCTTTTAAAAAACATTTAAAAAATACAAAAAAAATTTTATCCCTTAAATGTTATTTGAAGTTTCAAAATAATGTTGTGCCTGCTGTAATAGCAAGTTTGGACTCCTCTCCTCCCTCAGAGGCTTCTCCTTTCCCGGCACAGCACTTTTGTGTACAAAGGATCCATCGATATCCAATATGCTTCTACCTCTGAAAAAGCAGTGTATGTGGAAATTACAAAGTATATTATGAACTTTATTCTTGCCTAACCCTGTGGTTTTCAACTCGGGCCTTTTTCCCCCCAGAGGACATTCGGCAAAGTCTGGAGACATTTTTGGTTGTCATAACTGAGGGGAGGAGGGGAAGGAAGGGGAAGATTATGCTAATGGCATCTGGTGGGAAGAGGCCAAGGATGCTGCTAAACATCTTGCAGTGCCCACGGTAGACCCCTACAAAGAATTGTTCAGCACAAAATGTCAGTAGTGCCATAGTTGAGAAACCCT